GCCCAGCCCAGCCCAGCCCCCGCCCGGGTCAGGGGGCGCCCCGTCCCCACGACAGCGGGTTGGAACGGTTTAGGACCGCTTTAGTGGAGGAGGAGGAGGAGGGGCACCCATCATCCTCATCCTTCTTCTCTGGCAGCAGCAAAGTGCTCTTGGACTACATAGCCCAGAATTCCCCAGGGAGGGTGGCCCAAAGCGCAACCCTCCGTGCCTCTGATTCTCCAAGGGAGGAGGAGTCCATGGGGGGGGGGAAGCGAGGGCAGTTAAACGGGTCCCCCTCACTAGCAGGAGGCCTGGCAGAGCTTAACCCCCACCTGCCTGCTTGGTGGGGTGGGGGGGGCAGGACCTTGCTGTCCTCTGCCCACCTCTGGCTCCCTTACAGAGCCTGCCTGGATGAGAGGCTTCTTTGGGCCACCCTGCCCGGAATCTGTGCCTGGAGGAGTGACATGGCAGCCCACTAAGGCCCAGGCTAAGAGAAATCTCTTTTTTTTGGGGGGGGGGGGTCCCTTTCAGGTGTGCTATAAGCTCTGGGCTTTGGGGTGTGGGTTTTGTGTGTGTGTGTGTTATGCAGACAGAAATGGGCACTCTTGCCTCTTTGAAAGCTGGGGGCGGTAGTGGAGTGTACATTTGATTTTAATTTTTGAGGGTTCCTAAACTGCTTTGAGACCTGGGTGAAGGAGGGTGATAGGAAAGCATATGTTCCCCTTCCTGTGCCCGTTTGGACCTTGGCCTGGGTGAAGGAGGGTGATAGGAAAGCATGTGTTCCCCTTCCTGTGCCTGTTTGGACCTTGGGCCACCGGAGGGAACCTTCTGAGTAGCCTCAACTGGGCGCCAGCAGCCCCCCCCCCCCCCGGNGGATACCAGGTTCACTTTGCAAAGTCTTGTTTTTCCAGCAAATGCAGAAGGCACTTTTTGAAACCCTCCCTCATGTAAATCAGCCTGTTGTGTTTGTTATGAAAAACACAGTCATTGCGTACTGCGTCGACTTTATTTATTGCTTCACATCGTGTCTTTTATTATCGTCGTTCATCACTGAAATAATGAAGTAAGCACAGCTACAGTTTATGGCTACTCATAAATAAACAAAACGATGTTTTCCAGGGTTTATGGATACTTTGAAAAACTTGCTTTCGGACCCAGACAGCACCGTGCGTCGAAAGACGACAGAGGTCCTGTACCTGATGGCGATGCACAACGTGGGCAGGTGGGTTGCCTGCTGAGAACCTGCCTAACGTGGGAGGGTGACGAAACAGTGGTTCTGTGGCAGAGTTGGATTGCCCGGAAAAGATGATTTGAAGACTTCCTCCCTTTCTCCGTTTAGGACCGGGTTCTTAGAGCACGGTGTCATTCCGGCTCTGGCAAAGCTCCTGAATGACCCCGTGGACCTTTGCCGGTGGAACATGCATTATGGGCTGAAACTTGTGTCTGAATTGCCAGCAGGTAGGAGGAAACAGACTTCAGAATATTTATGGTGCACAACGCAGGGATTTCTTTGCTAGCAACATGCTTTGGAATTGTCTTGTGATGGTTAATATCTAGCATCTGAATCCTATTATTTGGGGGGGGGGTTGATGTCACGTCTGTGCCGTGCACGTCTAATGCCGCACTGCATCGCGCGCGGTGCCTTCCCAGCATCTCACCGTCTGCCTGTCACTTTGGGGCTCCAGAGAGGTTTTGCACCGGCTGTTTTTCATCTCTGCTTCGCCGCGTGTGGCTTGGCTTTCTTGCTTGAGACATCTGGAACGAAACATATATTGGTGGGAGTGGCTATTTCACAGCTTCATGGCCTGCATACCATGTGGTCTAGACTGGGACGAGATTGATCTCTGTGTGAAAGAAGGTGGGGAGGAATGGGTGGGTTTGCCTTTTGCTTTGCAGTGTGTGTGTGCGTGTGGGGTGCCTTGTCATCTCATCCCCCCCCAATTACTGTACATTATAGACCTAAACCCTTTTATGACCCAGCCAGTCTCCCCAGGGAATGCTAGTTGTAGGATTACAGTCCTCAGCATCCCACTAAGTGACAGTCCATGGACGCGCCGTGACACGTGGATTGGTACAGGCTTGTGGGATAAATTTGCTCTGCAAGGCTCTTGGTTTTTGTTAAGGTGCAAGAGGTGTTGGCGTGTGTGATTTACCTGCGATTTTGAGAGATAACGTTTTTAATGCTTACCTCTCCCCCCTTCCTTTACAATTCTCTCAGTCAAACAAACTTCCCGTGCATTTTCTGAGATGGGGTGGGAGTGTGAGAGTTAAACTCGTTAGCTAGCTGTGACCTAGACTGTTGGACGCCATCACTTCAGGCTGAGGATCATGGTCCCCCACAACCGTGGTGGGGAACCTGGAGCTTTCCCAATGGGCAGACGCCATCACTTCAGGCTGAGGATCATGGTTCCTGGAGCTTTCCCAATGGGCAACACTGCCCCTCACCCCAGGGCCCTGCTGGGAAGGGCTGACCAGGCGTGGTAGCCCAGCTGCGTCCGGGTGGCCCCATGTGTCTCCTTGCCCCCGACTTACAGGGCTGCCATCTGAACGACTGAGCCTGTGGAGCAGCACCCGCATGAGATGTTTCCTCTCTAAAGACCCAACGCTCCGGTGGCCCCATCGCTTTGTGCATTGTTGGCTGCTCATCCTCCATCATTGTTTTTGCCCTCTCTACTTCCTTCCTGACTCCCGGTCCCTCCGCGCAAAGACACCTCCCATGGCTTTCCATTGAGGTCAACTGCTCTTTACGGGAAGGGAAGGGCTTGCCGGTCCCTCTCACCACCTAGCGTGCTGGCAGCACACAAATAGCAGCGCCAGGACAGTGTGTCATAATTTATTTTAAAAGTATGTGTCATGTGGCAGTGAGTGCCGTTGTCCCTTGGTGGTGCCAGAGCCTCACAAGCAGCTTTTGCAAAGTCTGCTTCGGAGACACATTGCTGTTGGAAGGGGTGTGTTGTCTCATTTGCTGACAGACTCAAAATGAAAGAAAACGGCAGCAAGGGTTGCCTGAGAAATTTGTTTCAGTTTTGCAAAATTCTTTAGGCGAGAAAGAAAGAACTGAGAGGGAAAGATCATGGAATGCAAAGTGGCCGATGATCCCTTAGTCTTCCCCCCCCCAGGCCCACTTCTTACATCAGGAGGACCGGCGCATCTCTGCTGGCTCACCCAAGGAGGTCCGTCCCTGCTCTAAGCAATCAGGCAAGCCGGGGTGGGAGACCTGGGTTGAGGAGAGAAGGAGTCTCTGGGCTCCAGGGATGATGGCCAGCTTGATGCTGACCGGTGGAAAAGGGAGTCGGCAGCAGCTTGACCTGCTGGTTACCTAAAAGGGCTGGTCAGCCCCTGGCCACCAAAAGCAGCCCTCGGGGATGAAGACAGGGCTGTACCTCGGCTGATGGGCGCTCAAAGCAAAACAGGCGCCAATATTTTCTCCTGCATCGATCGTCCAGAATAATCTTTTATGAGGGTTGTTACAGGTACACATACATTCCCTTCTTAGAAGAATTAGGAAATATTGGGTGGCCACTGAAATAGATTTGCTACTCTTGGATTGTAACGAGACCTTCAGGACGATGGGAAGGGGATTCATCATCATCACCCGAGAGTCGCCGCACACTTTTGTGCTTCTTCGGCACCACTCCCTGCTCTGTAATGCCCACCTTGACAAAGACATCTGTACGGATCGAGAGGGAGCTTCTGCTTCTCAGAGTTTAGTGATCTTTGAAAGATAGATCGCCCGCTTATGGTCTGATCTCCCGGTGACCCCTTTTCCAGGCCCAACCAAGCCATCGCTCCAAAAGCAGTTTTCCCTTGCGTGTTTTAAAAAAATGTTCTTCTCCTGAGAGCAGAGGCTGGACCATATTCACTAACCCCATCGCGATGAAAAGGAAAGTAGCAAGGAAGGAAGGCACACTTTGCCATTTGCCTCTTTATCCAACTCTCTGTGTGGGCGGAGTAGATCTCGTAAAAAAATCAGTCTGGGGGGGGTAGAACTGATGGGACAGGCGCTGTTTTTCATCCTGGCCTATGAATAACAATTCCAGTCAAATATGGGGTTCAAGGCCAGTGAAACTTCAGCCCTAGAGTTATTTCCTCGTTCCCTGTTGCTAATCCATGGGCAACATGAGTCATCGTTCAGTCAGACTCAATTCGCACCCGTGAGTCGGACTCAATTTGGGGTGGTTGTTTTTTCAAGGATTCGGACTTGAATTGCAACACGGAACCCACCCACTGCCTCCCTTTTTTCGGGGGAAAATGGTTTTTAATAGGGATTCAGAGGTGGGGCTTGGGACTCAAGACGTCCTGTTGGAAGAACAGTGGGTTGAAGCTTATCAGAGGCAGCAATCCAGACACAGGGTGTGCTTTAAAACAAGGCAGACAAATGAACAAACAAACAAACAAAAAAAACACCAAGCGCACCATGGACTAGTCAGGATCATTCAGGTTATTTATTTTTGTAAAGTGGACAGCGGGCAACATTTGTCATCGTTCACTGTTTCCTGTTATGTTTTTCGTAAAGCCCTTGGCTGAGAACGCCCACCCTTCTTCATATAAATGGGAGACAGAGGGAGGGAGAACATTGTGTGTGTGAGAGAGAGAGAGAAATAATACATGTTTATGTGCTTTACGGCGCTTGAACATATATTTACACATTTAATTTACAATGGTCTGTTAGAAGTCTGTTTTGGGGTCCAGGGACTGAAGGAGTCACATGACCACTGGCCATATGATCTATGTGAGGTTTTTTTTTCCCAATACGGTCACACACAGAGCTTTTTAAGCATTCAAACTCAACTGTAAATGTACTACAGTAATAAGGTCACCCAGTATTATTAATTTTTTTAGCACACCGGATGAAAAGGAGTAGAGAGATGCATCACTTCCATTTCCTTAATTCCACTAACTTTTTTAAAAAAATTAAATATCTAGACATTTAAATATTGTTCATACCACTCATCAGTTCACCTAATAATTACAGCACATTTTAAAAAATAAACACCAAAAAAGAGAGTGAAGGACAGAAGGCTCTATCGTATAGTTTTGTTGGCTCCTGTGTTTAAGAAAAGGCTCTTTGACCCACTTCTCGGCATTTCTGTGAAGGAACAGAATTATCCATTGGCACACTCATAAAATCCAGACAATGAAACAATAATTAAAAAAAACAACAACAAACACTTTTTATAACCGTGTGTTTAAAAAATAATAATAAACCAACCAACCACTTATTAAACTTTTAAAGTTTCTGTGAAAGAGCACATTGTTTTTGGCAACAACAACAACAGAAAGAAAAAGAAAATATTTTAATGTATAAAATGCCTCATCGGTAGAACAAACACTGGCCACAAGTGGGACTCCAGTCTTTTGTTTCTTAATTTTTACTGCCCGCTTTGAAGATCTGAACGGCAGAAAGGCCTCACGAGGTCAGGGTGGCCACTCCCAGCACCCGTTGGCACAACCCATTCCTTCCACAGGTGGAATGTCGGTGATCAACCAGGAGGCAAAGCGGACGTGTGTGCCTAGTGGGTGCAGGCCAGTATTTACTGCAAGTTACGTGCCCGTGGCAGCAGGACCGACTGGTACGCCACCTACCAGCTGGTGTGCCAGGATGTGTGCGTGAGGAACAAACCCTGTGCTCGGCTCAGCCTGCTCTCTCTCTCTCTCTAGAGCCTCCGGTCAGGAAAAATACCTTTGCTTTTCCGGGGGGAGGGGCAGTGGGGAGGGGGATGTCACAAGGCAGCCCCTCTCCTACTCACCGGCTCTGTCTCTTCCCCAAAGGGATCTGGTTTCCAGGACAGTCAAGGCGGCCATCTGTCTCATTTCTACCCAAAGCCCGGCTGCTCCACCAGCTCAGAAGAAAAAAAGGACGAAACAGACCGAATGAGCAAGCGAGGACGGGACGGTCGTCAGTTGCACTCCCTGGCAGTTCAGCGCCTCCCTGTTCAGAAATCAGGAGGCTGGCTTGTCCCAGGGCCTTTCTCCCCCCTGCCCCAAACCTTGTGCAGGAATCAGCCCAAGGAATCAGTGCGCATATACTCCTCCAGATCGCTCCCTGCCATGGCGAGATCTTCCCAGTTCTGCCCTGTTGTTCACCCGGCGTGCTGGCGCCCTGCCTCGTTGGCACTGCCTTAAGAAACCAGACGCATCCGCTCAGATCCTCAGCAAAGGCCGATGTACTTGAGATTGTTCTGAATGATGACGTCTGTCACTGCGTCAAACACAAACTGGATGTTACTGGTGTCAGTGGCACAAGTGAAATGGGAATAGATCTCCTTGGTCTCCTTGTTGCGATTCAGGTCCTCAAACTGGCGCTGAATGTAGACTGCCGCTTCCTCGTACGTGTTTTGGCCTTTGTACTCGGGGAAGCAGACGGTCAACGGGATGCGGCGAATTTTTTCTGCCAGGAGATCCTTCTTGTTCAGGAAGAGGATCAGGGAGGTGTTTATAAACCAGTTGTTGTTGCAGATGGAGTCGAACAGACGGAGGCTCTCGGCCATGCGGCTCTGCGGGAGAGGACAGAAGGGTCAGCAGGAGGGCCAAACCCCAGGTGGACAGCCACCGCACGCTAAGACTCCTCTCTTTCTCCTCCCAGCTGTGATAAGGATGAGCTTTATTCCCCCCCCCAAAGAAGTATTCATTTGCATAAATGGACAGATCACACACCCCAAGATCTCTCTCCCTGACAGAATAACCATTTGCAAAATGCAAAATCTCAGGTTTTCCAAAATCCCATTGGTACAAACACCCACACCCCCATGAGAAGAAATAGCCATGTGGAATTAGGTTGAACATCATTATGACTATTGCATCTCTAGAGCAAGTGTTTGGAGATTTAATGCTTTCCATCCCTTACTGAAAGAGAGGCTGTCAAAAACTGCAACCGCATGGATGCCACCCTTTGTAGAAAGCCATCAGCCGAACCACAGAATTCTGAGAACATCAGCCTCTGGGATCATAAATACGTGAAAGAAATCCAGGCATCGACTCTGAAGGAGAGCCGACAGTACCACCGCAATTAGAACGATTGGTGGTGCGCCTCTCGGCTACGGGTTGGACGCCGGGGCATGCGGATTTTCTTCACTAGGAACACAGGAGACCACCCTGAGTGGGACTAGCCTAGTATTGTCTGCTCTGGCTGGCAGCAGCTCCAACGGGGCCCTCCCACCCGCCTGCTGCCCAATTCTTTTCTGGTGGGTAGGTGCCCTGGACCAGACTTGGAAAGGGAAGCATGCAAATCTTTAGTTCCTCCTGCAGACTTTCTTGTCAGCAGAACGCGCCTGTATAAACATGGGGCTCCTTTTCTCTTTACAGTTTTCTATGCAGGAATGGCTTCTGTACAGAAATCTCACTTTTCGAAACACCCAGAGACTCAGTTTCCTGACATAACATTGTTACTACTCTCTCTCCCATGACCAGCCTGATTTCACCAAGGAGCTGTCCATGGTACCTGCTTAGCTTTCAAGGGATAACAGCTTTTGCATGCAATTCCGAATGACGGTCCCCAAGCGATTCCAGACCAATCATTTGTGCAGAGTGGAACGGAAGCAAGGGCTGTTCTAGTGCCCAGGTATCATTTCTTTGAGACACTTGCTCGGCAAGGATCTTTTACTTCTATTGTCTAATACAGTTGCTTAAAACAAACATTTTGAACGCACTGCGTATAAAATACACACATTTTTTCTAGGTGCTGCCAAGATGAATATATAATTTAAAATGAATATTCATTTGTTTAAATTATATTTATTTATTTGTTTGTTTGTTTATAAAGCACCTTCTGTGGTGGTCAGGTGTGGAAACTCTTGAACAGAAGGCACACAACTGATAATAACGTGAAGGGCTTCTTACTTTTTTCTCATCTTACTTTCATTTGTTCTATAGCTCAGAGATCTTAAGGATTAAAAATTCTAATTCTGTATTATAAGACCGTGTATTCGTATAATCTTTCCCAAGATGTTTTGTAAAGATATTGGGTCAAACGGTTCTTGGGATTGGGGCCTCAATTATATGAGATTCCACCGGCTCCTTCATGGACTATTAAGGTTACTGTTTCAAAAAAATCTGTCGCTCTCAGACTGGCTTTATGCCTCCAGAGATTAACAACAATATACAGAGTGGAGAATTAAGAGACCCCGAGCTGATAAGCTGATAGGCTGAGGTGCCGCTTCCATCATCCTCTCCCGCTGCACACCCAGTTTCTGCCAGAATCGGAATCCCCCACAGCCCATCCGATGTCACGTTGGTAGGAGCCCCAGTGGCGCTGGGGAGGAGTGACCTCAGCCCCTTCCCTGGCACAGGCCTGCCATGGCAGGGTGGGGGCCACAGAAGGTTTTCCTTTACTTCTACAAATCAGGATCCTGAGTTCCCGGGAAAGCCAATCCTTTCTCCCAAAAGGACACCCACTCCACAACAGGCCATTAAAAAAAGGAAAGGAGGAGAGGGCCCCTTCCCTGGCACAGGCCTGCCATGGCGGGGTGGGGGCCACAGAAGGTTTTCCTTCACTTCTACAAGTCAGGATCCCTGAGTTCCCGGGAAAGCCAATCCCTTCTCCCAAAAGGACACCCACTCCATAACAGACCATTAAAAAAAGGAAAGCAAGAGGGGGAGAGAGAGGGAGACAGAGGGAGAGAGAGAGAAAGAGAGAGACAACAGAGAGAGGGGGGAGGGAGGGAGAGAGAGAGAAAGAGAGAGACAACAGAGGGAGGGGGGAAGGAGGGAGGGAGGGACGGAGAGAGGACAACACACACACACACACAGAAAGAGAGAGAGAGAGAGAGAGAGAGAGCGCCACTGCCCAGCTCTTGCCTTCATTCTTTGTGCGGCTGCGCTCAAGGTATCGGTGGGGATGAAAACCCAGTGAGCCTGGACAGAGCCCAGCCGAGACGAGGTGCTTTTCATCCGATTAATTTCACTGAGGGGATTAAGCACAGGCTTGATGGGATTTAGAAGTGTTTGACTTCGGCTGGATTGCCTCCAACAGCTGGTTTTCGGGAAACCTGCGTACAGGCATGTCTTCAAGCCGTGCCCTTTGGAAGTAGGAGAGCAAGGTGACCGGGGCCTCCTCCTTGGCATTCCCCCCCACCCACTTCTCCCACTGCACCTATTTGTGTTGGTTGTGTTACAACTTGCATTGTGCAGTGTGTCATTGGCCAACCTCCAAATAGGATTTTTTTTTTTAATGTGAGGAGGGCAAGCTCAGCAACCCATTACCCCTCCATCATCCTCATTCTCATCTCTTTCCTTGTGTGTAGAACGACAGTCAAGGAGAGCCTCTTTGAGATGTGGCGGCCCTCCGTGGGAGGAGAAATGCTGGCTTTTGGGGGCTAACTGATGGCCCAGGGAGAGCCTTCACCGCCAGAGAGTGTCTCCTCTTGCACCTTGCCACTCACCCCACGGCGACAAAGGAGGCGAGACTAGCGGCGTTTCCGTCGCTTGTGCTTCTTTGGCTTCCATCCGAATGCCTGAGCGAGGCTTTGGATGCTCTCCTCCCAGCCCCCGTTTCCTTCCTCGCCAGCTTTTTTTTTTAACAGGCTGATGGCTAGGACTGCTCACGCTACTCTAGAGGAAGCCCCACTGCAACACAATGAAGGGCATGGGTCATCCTGTCCTCCCCCAATACACCCACACCGAGCACCTGCTGGCATTTCAGGGGTGGAGGGCGGGAGGAGCTCCCCGCTGCTGACTTACAACCCTAAGGCTAATGAGTTACAACCCTAAGACACAGAGAAGAACAAAAAAGCGAGGTGCATCTGCTTTTTCCACTTGATTGCCTGGGGTGTAGCTGCGAAATCCAGAACTCTTGCAGGCCCAGTGGCTGAATTCCATCCTGTGAACTCAGGCCCTGTTTTCCATCCAACTGAAGTCGCTTTGCCTTCGCTTCTTCTTGGCTGTTCGCACCCATTTTAGGTCATCTGAGGAATTCCTGCCCTCTTCATTCCAACTGAAGTCGCTTTGCCTTCGCTTCTTGTCTCCCGAGGTCTTGGCTGTTCGCACCCATTTTAGGTCCTCTGAGGGATTCCTGCCCTCTTCATCTGGGGGTCAAATCAGACGATACACTTTTCTTGCTTTATGCAGAGGAGGGTTGAAAGCGGTGCACGATTTTCCTCTCCTACATATCATGCACTTAATGGGGTTCCATTGTTGTTGCTGTCTTCTGTGATTGGTCTCATTGTATGCTAAATGCACGTTTGATTTGCTGGCTTGATTGCTAAGCACAAATTCTGCTCCTCCTCCAGTTTCTCCTGCAGTCACGGATAAGACGGAAGCGTTCAAGACACTGGAGAAAGAGGAACCATGGATGAGCTCTCTCTCTCTGTGGGTTGGTTTCTGCCCCGCCAAAAGTGCCATCATCATTGAGCCCACATTAATGAACTAAATTAAGCCACTCTTGTTTGGCAGAAATTGATCACTGAATCACATATAGGCAGAACGAGCAACTGATATTGTTTTTGTTGCATGCCATCAAGTCACCTCCAACTTATGTCAACCCCATGAATGAGCGATTTCCAACATACCCTGTCCTCAACTGCCTGGCCCAGCTCTCGTAGACTCAAGCCTGTGGCTTCCTTTAGAGAGCCAGTTCATCTCATATTGGATCTTCCTCTTTTCCTGCTGCCTTCAACCTTTTCCAGCACTCCTATCTTTTCCAGAGAATCCTGCCTTCTCATGATGTGTCCAAAGCAGGGCAGCCTCATACGGGTATTTTTAAGCTTTTGCCAAATCAGGAAAGGGAAATCCTTTAGGTTTCCCTGAGCAGGTTAAGGGCAGCAATTCAGTGCTGGAGCACATGCGTTTGATAGGCAGAAGGCCCATTTCTGGCCAAGCCCTGGAGGCATCTCCAGGAGCGCCGCTGGGAGAGACCCCTGCTTCCTATGCCAGAGAGCCCCGCCGATTGCAGTCGGCAGGCCATTCCCTAACACTTGAGCCTCCTCTCTGCTTTTTGATCTCTGGAAAACGCTCCCACCTCCTCTTTATCATCATCCAAACCCTTTAAGAAAAGATTCCATTTGTAATTTAAAAGTAAAGATGCAAACAAACATGTAAGAAAAAAATATTTTGAATTAAAAATAAGCACAATCACTTTTTCTTTTTAATTTTGCTCAGGAAATAGTAGGTAGAACCCCTTGTTTAATGTCTCACATGGCTTGAAAACTCTGTTTGGTTGTCTATAAGCCAGGTGTGATGTGACAGAGCAGCATGTCATGTAACATTAGTTTAAGAACATTTCCCTTTTGCAGTGGGTCCTTTTCCATCCTGCCTCTGTTAGTACCCCTGTAGAAGAATGGTCTTGGGAAGAGATTGTCCTAATTAATTGGTCTACGAATCATTCTGAAAGAGCATCAGACTGAACAGAAGAGGGTCTCTCTCTCTTTCTCTTTCTCTCTCTCTCTCTCTCTCTCTCTCTCTCTCTCACACACACACACACACACACACACACACACACAGAGAGAGAGAGAGAGAGAGAGAGAGAGAGAGAGAGAGACCTTTTAAACTGCTCGTTTTCACT